AGCTGTTAGAATGATTTCCTGTAAATAACCTAAGATTTGGGGTGAGACGTCAGAAAAACTAGATGTGCTATTCAATGCTAGAAAAAATTACCACTACTTCCCTTCCAATAGACTCAGTTGTGTATTCGTTTTGTTTTTACATGACTTAAACTCAGGAGTAGTTGGGCTGGTTTAAAAACAATGTTTATTCCTTTACATGAAGTTCCTCTGCTTTTTACAGGCAAATCTTTGTGTATCCAAGTATAGTCTTAGCAATGGAATAGTGCCTCCACTTGTATCCTGAGGTGCAGTGTACTGGAGTGCCTTTCACAACAAAGTTTGCACAGAATTAGTCACAGCACTTTGAAGTTGTTTTTTGCTTTTTGAACACCAACATTATCATTACATGCTGCTGCTTTTCTTCTTTAAACAGCCTAAAGATGAAGAGCTGAAACTTGGTGTAGCGCTATCAGCTTGTTTAGAAAGCTGGCCTGAATAAAAGTCTCGCCTGATTTGGTTGAGAATCAAAATAAATATGAAGTGACAAGCTTGCCATTTCACTCATCTTGGAAATGGATGAAGAGAGGTATCTAATTCTTTGAATACAAAGAGTAAATTTATTTGAAGGCTCTCTTGGAGAGCACAGCACAGCATTTGGCTCAGCTGTCGAGAAGGGACTAAGAGAAGAGAATCCTGCCAGACCAAGTGCCTGTGAGTTGCTCTGTTCCTGGAGCAGATTATACCAAAATACTGATGACTGCATTGGTTTCCAGGTTCTGAGCTGCATTATGTGAAAGCGTGCAAGAAGGGAGACTAGGTAGGAATGAAGCTGATACATCTTTGTTCTCTTTCATTGCTGACTTCAGTGGCTGCATGCTGGCAAACCACAATAAAATCAGCTCTGCTTGTAGCTGTATCTATACAAAAGTTGTACAGGTCAGCTCCTCTGCAGCAGCCCTCAGCACGTGGAAGAGTCCCTGTGTGGCCAGGCCTCTACAGCAGAGATAAATCAGTGCAAGAAATACTGCAAGAGGATAACAGGCTTTGGTGCAGTTAACTTGTACAGCAGAGCCCATGGGTGTGTAATACACTTTCCACTTTTCCTCTAAAGATTTTGTAATGTCTCCTGAACATGAAATAGAGCTGCTTTTCCTGAAGGGTTGACAGGATTCATTCTGTATACTGAGAAGCTGTCATTCAGAGGACTAAATGGCATGCCTATCTTGCAAAGGTGAGTAAGAGTCTGGGAAGAATGCAGCTACTGGTGCACTATTCAAGTTTGAAAAAAAACTCAGTTCGGGTTGAATCAAAACTTACTTTACTGTCATTTCTTTAAAAAATCAGTATGTCAAAAGTCTTATAGTTTTCAGAGTAAGCTGAAGCCTACAATTTTCAAATCCTTGTGCAGCTGATGGAAAGAGAGACATGCCATGATGTCCCCAGTAGTAGTGGGCTTGATTTGACATCCCAGAGGCCCTTATTTCTTTACCTACTCCTTCAGTCATCAACACACACTTGCCTAGGATGTAAGATTACTGTTCAGTATTGTCCTGTGCTCGGAAATATTGGAGCATATGGGTAAAATGCCAGTAGTAGGCTAAATGTAATGGCTGTCCATTTCCCTTGATTAGGCTGTTGCTCTTATCTAAGAAACTGGGCATTATTCTGAAAGCAAAGCAAGGTACACACATCCCATTTTTTTAACAATGTGACCCAGCCATAATCACAACACCCCAGATTCTTGCTCTTCAGCTAAATGGCGAAGTGAGCAATCAAGAACACCAGTTTGTAATGTGTCATGGTTTCCTGATCACAGTAGTCTTCTGGGAGGTTCAAATTCTGAAACCAAACAGAACACAGATTCTTCTCTTCCTTGCATGAATGCCCAAGCTTCTCTTTTGGAGGCTTTGTGAATCTTGCCTGAAATTTTTGGTTGCTGCTCAGCAGGAGAGGACAGGAGGTAGAAGAGTTAGGTGTTAAGTACTCCCTCGGGAAGAAACAGGGTGCTTTTGTTTTATTTCTCAGTAACTAATTTCTCTGAAGTCAAGTCTGTTTTGCCCATGATAGCAACCAGTGAGTAATCTTTCTATATTTATCATGTTTGACAAGTTTTTCCACCAGTTTTTCTCTCTCTGTTGTGTTGAGGGTGAGAAGTGATAGAACACCATGGTGGGCATCTGGAGACCAGCTAAGTGCTACAGGGCTGAAAGTGTTAGCCATAACTAGTTGAAGTGGAGCCCCGTCCAGTAAAGCATGCATATCTTTAGACAGTCTTTGGAAACAGCCTCTGGCAGTAAGGAATCCTAGTAGTTTATCCCCATGAAAGGTATAACAAAAGAGAAAGCAGAAGTCTTACTGTTGACCTCTGGCCATGTAACTGTTGAAATCCCAATGCCACAGCTCCTGTAGAGGTTGCTCCTTGCCAAAAGCACTGCAGTGATCAGGCTAGAAGAGATATCCTGTTCAACAGTATCCACTCACTATGCATTCATCTCAGCTGTTTCTTCTGGACCTCACCTGGGATACCCAGATGCCCAGTTAGCCACTGGATAGACCTGGTGGCAAGAGGCAAATGCCTGTGGTCCTGCTGGGTTCATTCCTCTGTGACCAACCAGAGTCTTACCAAGAGATGAAAATGGTCTTGAATCAGTGAATTATCTTGTTTTCACTAAAGGGTAAGTAGTGAAAACAATTTCAACACAAGGATAATGTCCTTTCTCCCAGAGGAAAGGTACATATGCAAAACTTTCTGTGAAACCACAGGGCAAAGGTTTACTTCATATTTGCATTGTCTTTTTCTAGGTAAGCACTGGCCTCGCTCTCAAATCCTACACTAACAGCTTCTGATTTCATCACATCGCTGCTGGAACCAGGAAGTCAAACTATTCTTTCCTTTTTTTTTTTTTTTAAATAAAAGAAATTTAAGTGATGTTTCATGTTGCTTAGTTGTGGTAAAAGTCTGCTCAGTTCTTTTTTTATTTCAGCATCTCAGGAGCTCATGTATTAAGTCTGTATGGGGTTAAAATTAATCCAGATGTGTTTACACAGTTATCTGCTTTAATGCAGTAGGCACAGCTGTTTTTTGGATGTATCCTGGCTAGATTCCAGTGTGAGCACTCATATTTTCCCTGTCTCTGTACTCCCTTGTAGCTTATCAACAAGAACACAAGAACTACAAGAACATTATTAAGCTTGGTATTTAAAAAAGAAACATTAATTGAGGGTCCCACTGCTATGAGAGGCATTTTAATGATTGGGTATTTATAAATTCATCTGAAGTTGGGGGGCGCTTGCCTTCTAGTTTTTGAACCTTTGGGATTGGATTTCCAGCTTTTTCTTGCCAGTGGGCTAACAGCTTTAAACTGATCTGAAAGTTTGGTTTATTCATAGAAAGCCAGGGCTTCAGTTGTTGGTTTGACCAAATATCATGAAGGGTTAGGATATAAGATGACACCTAGCAGGATGGCATTAGCCAGTGGCTAATTGAGAGTACAGGTGGAAAAAGAAAAAGCACATGCTCATGTAACCACTTTCTGATGCAAAAGGAGGGATCACAGCCTGGCCCAAAGCCCAAATTTATTTTTCTTAAAAGAAAATTTGAGTCTAAGGAGGCAGGACAATAATTTCTCTATTGTTAATTAGCTGTTAACAATGTCCAATTTTTGTTTCTCCTGACAAGGATAACATAGGTAGCCATGCACCTGCACCACCATTAGATGCTCTTCTGGGGTGTATTGTGTCTGTCAATATCTTGTGGTTCCCCTGGTGCTTGGTGGAGGTGTTGCCAATTTGTGTTGGGTTTCCTGTTAGGGCTTATCCTTGTTTATTGTGGCAGAGTTAGCTTTGACAGGAAAGTACAGGATTGCTTTTGCTTGTGGAAAAGATGTGACTTTTATTTGAACTCTGTCCCCTGTGGGATGAGTAATGGTAGGATTTGAGTACTGTGTACCTTTCATGGCTAGCTGCTAGACAGGGATTGAACAGCAGGGAGAAGAGAGCTGTATCCCTGGAATAAAATTGCTTCTGTGTCTGAAGCATTTACAAGTCTGCTAGAAACTTCCATTTGGAGCTGTGCACATCTAGGCTTGTCAGCAGTTGGCAAGGATATTGTCCGTTTTGATTATCTACAGCAGCAACATGGCCAAGAGGACAGTAGTGATACTGGAGATTTCATTGCACATCTTGATGTCTTCCATGGAAGATCCAACATGTGGAGTTACCTGAAAGTAGAAGCTTTATCTTTCCTTTGGAAAGCAAGGTTCTCTCTCTTATAGTTACAAATGAACTACTGATGAAAAAGGACTCTAAAACTGGAAAGCAAAACATGAAACACCAACCCAAACTTAAAACTTTAAAGCTATTCTCATAATCTAGGAAACCTCAGTCATAATATTAAATAGGGTTGAAATGCTGGTAGCTGTTAAGCTGGACCAAAATATATTTTTCTAGATCTGTGGTCTCTGTATTTCATTATTTATTTGTTTTATACTAAGCAGGGGACAAAATCAATGGGGGGGCAGATTTATCTGTTTGCAAAATAAAACAAGAGCAGCACATAAGTTGTTATGCAATGTTTTCTCTAGTATCCACATGATTAAAACCACAAGTTTTCCCTTGCAATGTGTCCAATTTGATTTCTTTTCCTTTAACAGTTTTTTTGTTGTTAATTTGTTCCTTCATGGAAGTTTTCTCGGGGTTTCTGAATTGCATGGCATTTGTTACAGGAAAAAAATAGAGAAACCTGTGCTGCCGTTGTCTTTGGTTAAATTTAGGTCTATATCCAAATTACTGCTATTTTCAGATTGTAGGGGTCTGCTTAACTTTGCCTAGACCCAAGTCTAGCTGTGAATTGTATTTAAGTTCAAAGTTTCTTTTGTCAAAAGCTTATTTGTGAACTGTGATTCAGGCTGTAGTTTTAAAGTAGATGTGAAGTTAATTTTTTTTTTCAGAGTTAAGAACTTACTGAAAATGGATACTCAAGGGATCTGTGGATAGCTGTCTCTCTTTTGATATGATGCCTACAGCTAAAATAAAACTAGTTACAAAGGGCTCCACCCCTGCAACAGCTTTAGGCACAGTTTGGAGCTCATGTGTGTGCTCACACACAGACTACAGAAGCCAGAAACAATTCCAAGGCAGGCATGCCTGTGTGCAAGCTTGCGGTGCTGGTTTCCCAAAGCAAAAGTGAAAACTCTTGAGAAGAAACTGAGAGACTGAATGGGTTAAATGAAATACAACTCTGCTTTTCCTGTGCAGTAAGGATTAGTAACCAAACAGAAGCAGGGGAGAAGAGCACTGAAGTGCCACTGTTTCAACAAGAGCGATTGGAAGGTGGGTTCTGGAGCTGGAGTGCAGTGTCTCCAACCTTTGTGCTCACCTGTCACAGGCACATGCAGCAGGTAGGAGTTGGCACTGTGTTCTGGGCTGTCTCCTGATCCCTCTACCTGGATATCTATTCTCTATTAGTCATTTCAGTGCTGTTCGTGCACTTTGAACTATTTCTCATTTCCCACCTTTTTTTCTTTCCTTTCAGTTAAAAGCGTACACGGGAGAGCAGAGACCAGAGTCCTTATGACTGCAGAATTTTATTTCTCAGAAAGGAGGGAAAAAGATGCTCCCTGAGCTTGGCGAACACGCGTGCCTTTGGCACGCAGTTAATCCCGGTGGCACTTGGAGCGCTGTTCGGTGCTGCGGCCGGGGAGCAGGGAGGTGCCCGCAGGCCCGGTGTGACGGGATGCGGGGCGGTGTGAGCCCGCCGGGATCACACACGCTCCCTTAGCGCGGGCTGCCAGCCAGACGCAGCCGGGCTATTGAGGGCACAAACGGAGCTCTGGCCCGCGGCAGTAAAAGCCCGTCTGGGCGCTAGGACTCTCCTAGCCCATGGCTGCCAGCCCGCAGAGCTCCGCTCCTGCTCGGGGGCCAGCGGGTGCTGAGGGCAGGGAGTGGCTCGGCATCACCCGCCGCTGCTTTCAGCTGCGTGAGGGGAGCTGGGAGGGAGGCCCGGCCAAGCGATGCCCCGGAGCCGCCAGACCCGTCTGTGAAAGGGGAGCGGGTCTCCCATCCCTCAGAGAGTCTGAGGCGTGAGGCAGGCCAAGGTGGCGGCGCCAGGGGCCTGTCCCAGCACAGGAGGTAATGGTCGGGAGCGATGCGGGAGGGCAGGAGGTTTGCCTGGTGCGCTGGGTGCTCCTTGTGGCTGGGTGGTCAGGTGGAAGTGGAGGACCAGGTGATTTGAAACTGACTTTCAAAGCTTTGATGAAGGCAATGTCAGCTTTGAACGGAGTCCCTAGGACTAGTATTAGTGCAGGAGTTCAGGGAGATGGTGTGCTTCCTTAGGTCTCCCTGTAGAGACCTTAAAATGACTTTGTAAACGCCTTTGTTTGTTACTTGGGAAAGGAACAAACGCACATTTACCCTTTCTACACTGTACTTAGGAGGCCTTTCAACAGCTCCATTGTAAACTGGCCTGAGCTTACATCTTTTTATCCTGGCTTCCCAAAGATGTACCACACACTTTACTGCCAGAGCATCCCAGTCTCTGCAGCCATGGAAAGCCATTTTTTCTGAGGTGCAGTGTGAGGATGAGCCAATGTGCTACACAGCCATGTGTGTGTTGGACAGCCTCACTCAGGCTTCCAGGACAGGTGCTCTACTCTTACAGGGAGCAAAGGGAGGTGTTTGTGATGAGGAACAAGGGTGGATAAAGTCACCAAGTGTCTTTGGTATGGCATTAACTTAAACTAATATTTGTTCATGTCAGTGAATTAATTGATTGGTAAAAGGAAAAAAAAAATTAATACAGAGCAAATTTGCTATCTCTGGAAGTGTTGTGCTTTTTTTCTGTCCAGTGTGAGATAATTGAGACTTCTATTTTGTGTCTGGTTTCAGGTTCTTATCCGCTGTGAAGTGTCCGGACACCTTAAAGGTGTTTAGTTTTGAAATATTTTTAACATGAGTTTAAGTGCTTGATGGCAGCCCAGAAAAGCTGGGGTTGGGATAGTTTCTTAGTAGCATTTGCCTCTTCCAAATCTGTTTGCTAGTAAACAATCCACACTGAAAGTAGTATTTGATGGAATATGTGTGACAAGTGATTTGAGGTGATTTTCAAGCAAGGATGTAGAGCTTTGTTTGCTGGTCTCTATAGGTATTTATGTTAAAAAGAATATTAGGCAAAAACCAAAATGTTCTCAATTTTAAAGGAAAGTAGCCACCACTGTGTAAAAAATTTAGGGAATGCATGTTCTCAAGTGTTGCTGTTCAGTAACTACAGTTAATTCTGATGCAGACCACTTCCCTTTGGCTTTGGGATGGACTCTCCCAGATCCAGCTGCTAACCAGCTCAATAAAGGAGAGTGCAGGTAGATATAACCTAATCTAGCTGCTTCAGGGATTAATTGCTTCCCAAATTAGGCACCAAGATTCTTTGGGAGTCTAGGTGAATGGCCATGTCCAGACTTGCTAAAAGGGTTGAGGAAACAGGAAAGCAGCTACATTATTGTAACTGGTTTTCTTGGTAGCACTTTTTGAGTTAAAGGTGCAAAGTTTATTCTTTTTGTTCTGTTAAAATAGGAAACACGAAAGGAAAAAAAAAATTAAAAAAAAACCCAAAAAACCCAAAAACCAACAACTACCCCCGAAAGGAAAAAAAAAATTTAAAAAAACAAACAAACAACAAAAAAAAACAACAAAAACCAACAACTACCCCTGATTTTGATTGTGGACTCTTTCTTCTGAATATGAGGCAAAATGCTGTTCTGTGCCTCAGGACATGTAGAGCTTAGGCTACCAGAAGGCTTTCTGTTTGTTCAGTGGGGACCTTAAATGTTAATTAGATGCTAACCATTTTGTTTGTTCATGTATGTACCTAGTGACTTATAATTTGCAGCAAACAAACAGCTTTTCTTGTAAGAGGATGGGAGCTGTGTTTTGTATGAGAACAGCACCTAGAATACACGGGATGCAATTACAGTAGTCCTCACAATTAGTATTACAGGCTCATCATCAGCTGAATGAAGTTTGTTTTCCCAGTGGCCTATTGATGCTCAGTGAGCACCAGCAGAAGCGGGTTGCTTTGCTCTTAGGTCTGTGGGAAGGAGGATGCAGCAGTGCTGAGCCCTGCAGTGTCCCTGGCACAGCTACTGAGCCCAGACAGTGATGGATGATTGCTTGGATTCAGGACAGTCATTTGCAGTTATGCCCACTGTATGATGGACTTGTCAAAAGGACTTGCTTCTCCCAAAATGATGCTCTGCTGGATACAGCTTCTCAGGCTCATTTTTTAGCACTCCTGGATCTGAACTGTGCTTTGTTGTGGTCCAGTCTTGACTTGGACAATGAATAATAAGGGTTGTTAGATATTTGGGAAGGGACTTTTATCTCAAAGTACTTGAATGGGTGTCTACTCATACCCATAACCTATGATCAAAACATTTGTTTATGCTTTCTCACACAGTAACAAGCTCACCTTCCTGACATGCAGATGTGATGTATAGAAAACAAGGGCCATCCACAGATTGTTTATTTCTCTGCCTAGCCCTTAAAGCAGTAATTGGAGGCTCTAGTTTGGGCATCTGTGGGAGAAACCAGCTTCAGAGCAAAGAACCAATTTATTTTTAGATCACACCGTTGCCATTTTGCTGTGATCACACCGTCGAGCATGTGCTTCCTTTGAGAGCTCTCCAGGCACTGCAGTGTGATCACACCCTCCTAAGATCTTTTTTTATGAAGTTAATTTTTAGTGACAGATGAAAGATGCTAGAGCTTGTATTCTCAGAGACAGCAGCCCCAATTCCACTAGCACATATTTTCCCTCCTAAATTTGTTAATCTAAAGTTCTGGTTTAGGTTGTGATTTTGTTCCATTTTTGTTTCTTTTAGTTCACCTCATGTTACTCATCTTTCTCTTGCACAGTAATGTAAGAAAGCCCACAGATTTCTCTGGGGGAATTTCTGCCTCATACCACTGAAGGTGTGTCTGCATCACAGTCTGTGGGGGCAATTCCTTAGGGAAGAGATGTACCTGTACAAGTGTGGTGTGCTTGACATGTTTATATATATATATAAAACTGAGTTAGCTTTAAATGAAAAATACTATCTTGGCTTCCAGAAACAATATAGAGGCAGCAGCAATCAAAACCCACATGAGGTTTAGGGTAAATAGTCTCGAGTTTCCCTGTCTATTATTAGCCCCCAGCAAATTTATTTAAAGATTTTACAGGTGTTCCCTGTGCATATGTACTACAAGCATACTGTAGTCCTACCATCCTCTCAGTGAACAGAGATGTGAATCTTGCAAAGAGAGGCAGAGAAAAATTTAATGGTTTTAAAATCTGCTCTTGAAATAACACTCCTTTTTTGTTTTTATTTTTTAACCCATTGCACAGCACAGAAATTGCTGTGTTTATGTTTAGGATGGAATGAAGTTAAATAAATTTGAAGCAATCTTCTAGCATGAAAATCCTCTATTTCCCTAAGAATTCTCAAAAATTTGAATTGTAAGAGATTAGTGTTAGCTGGGTAACATGCTCAGGTGGGGGTTGGGGAGAAGTCCCTCCCAACTTTTGAGACTACCTGTGGAAACTGAATAGGCACAAGTCTGTGGGGCCTGATGAGATGCATGCCAGGGTCCTGAGGGAGCTGACTGATGTGGTTGTCAAGCCACTCTCCATGATATTTGAAAAGTCATGGCAGTCAGGAAAACCCCCCAGTGACTGGAAAAATGAAAATATTTTTTCCTGTTTTTAAAAAGAGGATAAAGGAAGGCCCAGTGAACTAAAACTAGTGAGCCTCCCCTTTGTGTCTGGGAAGATTGTGGAGCAGATCCTCCTGGACACAGTGTGGAAACATGTGTGGAAACATGCAAGACAAGGAGGTAATGCAAGACATGCCAGCATGGCTTCACTAAAGAGCAAATCCTGCCTGCCCAACCTGGTGCCCTTCTGTGGTCTGCAGTGACTGACAAGGGAAGACTGACTCATGTCAGCTACCTAGAATTCAATCAAATCAAAAGTAAGGCTTTTGATGTGATCCTGTATGAAGAACTTGGCAGTTCTCATGGATGAAAAGCTGCATATGAGCTGTCAGTATGCGCTCACAGCCCAGAAAACCAACCTGGGCTGCATCCAGAGCAGCAAGGCCAGCAGGGGAAGGGAGAGGATTCTCCTCTTCTGCCCTTGTGACCCCATCTGGAATAATGTGTCCAGGTCTGGAATCCTCACCATAAGAAAGACATGGAGCTGCTGGAGTGGGTGCACAGGAGGCCACAATTTGCTCAGAGGGCTGGAGCACCTATTCTATGAAGAAAGGCTGAGAGCCGGCATTGTTCAGCCTGAAGAAGAGAAGACTCCAGAGAGACCTTATTGCTGCCTTCTGGCATTTAAAGGGGACTTAAAAAAAAAGCCGGC